AGCTAATGAGATCGAACGAGCAGGTAAAAATAAAAGAGAAAATGATAATCATGTGCTAGGACTCCATTCTAATCGCCGCGTCATGTAGGGTGCGCTCGTAAAGGTCACTCGTGGGCGTTACTGCGTCTAACAGTGTTATCCAACCACTGCCAATAGTCCGTAGACGATTCACGAACGCTGTGTTGCCATCGTGAAGCCCTGAACACGTGTGCTAGTTCGGTGTTTTCGTATCGCTATATTTTTGTGAGCTAATGACTTTTTGGCGCTTAGCGTGTGGTCTGTCAAAGTTATCAATGCAGTCAGGTGATCTTGAGCGGTGAATGATTTTACGAGAATATAATCGAGTACCATGCAAAGCTACAACACACCAGGGCTCTTATTTCTGTTTATTTGATCTAGCGTAATTTGCTTGGAGCTTTAGTACTAACTTCGTCTGAGCACTGCCTAGTTGGCAGAATACTGTAATCATACCATTCTGTATTCAATTAGTTTTTTATCCAGCACCGCTTGGATTCGTTCTACCGGTCGATTTGTTAACAAGGCCGCAAGATCAATAAGAATAACTGAAACATGATCGCTACGTTATCAGTCCGAATATGCTCAACGCCACATAATATTTGATCCTGTACTCTCTCGAAGGCAAAAATGTATAACATGCGTAATGTAGTAGCTTTTTTTTAATATGAAAAACTTCTGTTTTTGTTACTTGTTTCTGCTTCGTCATGACGATGTATCGCAATATACTGACAAAATGACAAAGTCACCCCACCGAAAGTATGATAGGGCTAGAACATCATGTTTAAAATTCTCAATGTGTTAATTTGCCTCACCGAACACAATACTATTTGCCGAGTATGCTCAAGATTACAGCTGCCAAGCCAACAATGAGCAACATGAACTGGCCGCCCTCGTACTCATGGCATAACGCATATAGCACCCATCAGTGGTCAAACTTGAAGTCGCTAGCTCATATGGGCACCTAGTTTTTAGCGAAAGGTCGCCAATTGACGCAGTTATTGTGGCACTTGCCTAGCAACATGGTATTTTTAAATGTTTAAAAATAATAAAGGAGGCTTGTAGGAGCAATTGAAAGTGTATGTTTAAGTAAAGACGCGACGCGAGTCAATAGTAAGAATTTGACAAAGATGACCCACTATTTTCTAAAATCCTTTTGTATCCGAAGGCACTGCTTTGTCGAGAAAAAAACTTGGATTTACTCGTGTTTCGATCCAGTAGACTCGCAAGGTAGAGGTAAACGTAGCCACATACGTGTCGTTGCAATGGAAGGTAGACCAAACAGCGATGCTACCCTTGAGTACTTTTAGTAGGCCAATGTACTGTCTATTTGCACCCCAGAAGAGTCACTCCTGCAGTTTCTTAGACAGCAACATGGCAATATCTAGTTACAGTCTAAGCCGAAAGAAAAAGAGCCTAGTGGTTTTCTTTTTGCGGCTTCCGATTTCACATGTACGTAGCACGTGAACACTCTTTGGAGTACACTATATTCTCGTCGGAGACTCGTCGGACCCAAAGGAGAGTAAACATGTCTCTTTGATGAACTATTTGCATGGAAGGTCGAAAAAAGTACATCGAAAAGAGCAACGCATACTCTTATTTTTTTTAGAATATAAAGTGAACCAAACGTTTGTGCTGTCACCCACGTATACATGCCCACTAAAGAGTAGCGATGCTTTTGTTGATGCTTATACAGTAGATATCCCCATTCATCTGCACGCCTGACACGTACACCACGTTCTATCTCACTCCCATCGAAGTCAGCACTCTTGTGCCATCTCGTTCTTTTATCATCTTCGACGCATTCGGCTGCTTCGTATCCTTAAGTAGGACACAACAAAAATAGGACTGTAATAACCAAGGACCTAACATAAGCATATTACTTTCTTTGTAATATTTTAACTTGGTTCTAAAAGAACGAATCCTTTCACTTTAGGGTTAGTCCGCATTCCACTGTCGTCAAGTGATCCGTGGTTGAGCGTGCTTCTGTGGAGTTAATGGTTATTGTTGTTGGACGTCATCAATAGCCTTAAAGCTACAATCGCAGGCACCGGCGCTTACACTTTGCCCAGCATGTTTGGCTCGACCTACCTGGGCACAAAAATTCCCGACACATCGATCGATTTTGAAGTTAAAGACAATAATCACAAGCCTTATAATCATTCCGAACAAGTCGGCATAGCTGGACACCACACCAACCCTGCTTCTCGTTTTCGATTTGCTCGCATAATTTTAGGGCTGAAAGACAGACCAATGCTCGATCCGATGGCGCCTATTCATCTCGCTGAGCATTATTGATATCTGAGGCCACGCCTCACCCGGCTTTGGATTGATTGAAGCGCCTGAATAAAGAAACCTCGTCGCGAGAGAAAGAAAAGAACGGAGAAAAGGGAACCCGGTAATAAGATGGTTAGAAATACATTAAGCGTTGGGAATGTCGTTGCTATGACGACAGCACAAAGAAATTCCGGCCGTGCAAAAAACACTCGGACGCAGTTTGATCGACGAACACAATAGACATACGTGGCAGTAAGTTCCGGAAAGAGTGGAAGTTAAGTGCGCATACCCTAAGTATATTTTTAAAAGATATCAGCCTGCACACATACGTCTTTTCAGGAGCAGGATAATTGATCGACATTATACGCCTCCAGGCCCGAACGGCCGGGTTATTACAGCGGCGATGAATTGGTCGATGCTGAACATTCCGGAAGATCAAAGGCAACATGACCTATTCTAGCAAGTGAACAGCCATATTATTAATATTATCTTAAGATTTTACGTCCTAAAACACGATATCATTATGAGCGCTGTCGTAGAGAGCGGACTCCAGGCAATTTGGACAATTGCTTTTTTAATGTGCACAAATATCTGACAAGCATAGCACCCGCAGATATGTGTAAACAATAATACTTTAGCACGTGCATTCATACCTGCTTATTACTACTGAATATTCCATCTTAAACATATTCCATAAACACCTCCGCGATAACTTTCAAAATACGGGGAGATTAACGGTGTCTGAAAACTGGTGATCACGGCAGGCTGTAAAAACAAGGAACTAAGAGATCACCAGCAATCGTCGTGCCAACCGCAAGTGCAGTTCGAGAGCCCGCTAGGCAGCCAATAAAATGTATATGACACCAGAATAGAACGACAGGCGAAGTACGTCACATAACGGCCAACAACTGCCCCTCGGCCAAGCTGGCACACCTGCGTCAAGGGTACAGAGATGGATGGTGCACTAACACGCACGCCAAAAAGGACAGGCAGTGAAAGAGAGAGAGGGCTAAGCTACGCCGCATATACGGCTAACCACCACGCGAGGGTGCGCAGGAGGGCGCCAATGTTTGATATCGGCTGCCGCAGCGCCGCAGTCACCCAGATATTGCGTAATTAGCGAGACTTCCATAAATCACTTCGGGTAATAAGTGGCTTCGTGGCAAACTCCGACGCACTGCAGCGGCCTTTTTAGAGAAGGTTGTGGCAGTAATTGACGGACACCTAATTAAAAAGGAACGAGAACGACTTCCCCGTAGAAATCTGCAAGTGAGGCAAGGAAAGGTAAAAGATTTTTTTTTTTTTGTTCCTTGATGCGGCTTTTTTTAACCTGCTCGATCGATTCCACGGAGTTACGAAAGAATGAGCTCCGGAGGTACGTCAACCTTGTGGTAAATTGAAACGTCCAATCTTAAACACGTAGTGATGCTGTAAAAAACAATTTTTCTCCTTCCCGGGAAGTCTTCGACCAGGCCGGTAAAAACGCCCCAAAATATATATATACTAGAAAATAATGCGCCAAAAATTTCTTTGACACTCGGTAGAAGCACACTTGAGATGGAAGCTAGCACTCGCTAAATTATAGGCGTTCAGGCAATTAGAGCATACATATCAATATTCATTTATTTATTTATTCGGTCAGAATTAGTCGGGCCCAATTTGAGATGACTGATTGATACGCGGTAGAATACAGCAGCGGACTCAACGTGTAGCACACCATGAATTACTAGACGTTGGCATTCAAAAACTTCGCACGGACAATGTTTTTAGCATCGTCCTTATTGAAACTGAGTCGGTATTCGAATATCATGACATTACTATGCTGACTATAGAGTGGAACGGTACGCAAGATGAAGATACAACAGCAGCGAGTAAAAACAGCAAAAACACATGAATGAAGCCTTGTAAGCATGTGTAGTTGGTATTGTTGGCTTATATTGCGTCTTCCTTCACTTGCTCTTCTTCTCCTTTTTTTTGGCATCGTTCTTCGCGGTTACCCACTTGTAACTAGACCAGTTCATACCGCGTCTTTTGTCAAAATAACCCTCCTGTGCCTCATACTCTACAACGCCGTAGCAACAGTTATTGATTAGTTCACTAATTCGTAACGCTGTATACTTGCATTTCCAAACTTGCGTTCCAAAAATGCCGGGCCTGGCAGTGGAATATTTACGTAGCAGCCCTCACACGAGCATTCAGATGCACTTAAGCGAGTGGCAGTCGAAGGTAAAGGCTTAAATCACGCACCCAAACGGGACGTTGTTATCGTATGTTAGATGGCTTTCCACTTTGTTTGCTACTTAAAAAAGAAAAGAAGACTTCCGAAAGAAGAAGAAATAAAAAGCGCCAGCACAAATCTCCACCAGACTGAGACGACGGTGAAGGATATAGCGCGTGAAAGGAGAAAGATTTGAATCGTTCTCGCCTGAGTCTTTGGTGCGGGTAAAGCGTGCATGATTTATGCACCACGACGGTAAATAAACGAAAAATAAAAGCGAGTGATATTTATGTCCTCGAGGTATACAGTTACCTTTGCCTCCTTTATTATTTGATGTTTCACAGTCGTTCTGTTTCATTCTAGTACTTTCCGCGAACATTGTTTATTTCTTTCACGAATGAATTCTAGCTGGGCACTGCAGTGCGGAACCAAAAAAGGGGGGAGGGGGAGTCAGAATATACTGGTCGAGGCAGCCAGGTAACATTGAAATATGGCGGCGGCTTCCAAATACTGCGGCAGGAAGGAGGACATGCAGACGCCCCATAGAAATCTGCAAAAGGAACAAGTACGTTTTTCCATGGCGTGCGCTGTATGACCAGTCAATATGTCTCAAGGAGGCGGGCATACACACCCCGTCAGACGGGCAGCCGTTCGCGAAGCACGCAGAAAACGAAACAGCAGCTCAACGGCTGCCGGCGAAGCAGCTTTAAAGCGCTGTTATTTGTTGGTTTTCTTTCCTCTTCCCGTCATTTTATTTCCTAATTTCTTTTTATTCCTGCCTACGTTCCTGTCATAAAGATCCTTAAAGCCCTGCCTACCTGCAGAGACTTCTGAGCGCGGTGATTTCTGGCAAGCAGTTTCCTGGGAAATGCCGCAGTTCGCGCAAAACTTCAGAGCGCCGTCTAACCTCACTGCCCTTTCTCCTTGCTTCCTTCCTCCTCCTCCTTCAGAGCGCCGAATGTTTTGCTTAGCGTGGTTTCTTGGACGAAAATCGATTGAGAAGAATGGCAGAGGCATTATTTGAGAAGAATGCCTGATTCATTATTTCTAGCCGCATACATTTCTAGGGAAGAATGAAGCTTACCTGTAACTCGTTTGTGGAGTTTCAACTGGGCCTACACATAACTCGCTTCGTAAACACGCGTTAACTCTCTTGACTCTGAAGAGAGTATAATAACCTGCAAAAAAGAATTCCCGTGCATGTTCAAATGCGTTTATAGACGTGGCAAGTCGGAAATCATCAGGAAGCATAACGGGTATTTGTGATTATTTTTTTAGTGTACGACATATGGCACATTCAATTTTTTTTTTGTCTGGTTATGGCGCGAGTAGTAAACTCAATAAGGTACTGACGACGACAAAGTCTGCCTGACTGAAAATTGTAAGAAAACATTAGACTATGTGAGAACCCTTTTCAACTGCAAGCCACATAGATTCGCGCTTTCTATTAACACTTATTCTGATTTTGCTAACTAAAGTGAAATCTACTCATAGTTTCTGCTCCTCCGTAAAATGTAGCATATTTAGCATCATTCACAGTATAAGTACCGCACATTATCCGGGCACCTGCGTATCCTTAAACAACTCAATAAAAATATTGACATATTTTAAGGACACGGTAATTAAGGTTCCGGCTGCTCCAAACTCTCAGAGTCCTACAATGGTCCAAAAGTTATGTTTAAAACAGCGTCCAGCCAGTGACACCAGAACATGACAAACACGCAGCGCATGCAATGTGCAGTTTGAATTGCACCATGAATATACGATATAAAGTCAAAGAAAAAAACAACCAATATGGTGCTTTATGCATGCGCCTCCAAGGGGAGGAGAACTTTTTCGAAAACCAGAAATTTCAACGGCCTGACCTGGGTCTGCCACTTGTGGACGCCGAGACCTTGACTGCACGCGGGATCACTGCAGGCGTGCAGCCCCAATCTGATCGTCGAGGTGCAAGCTTCACAGGATAGCGCGCTATCTCGATGAGAGGACCACCGTATCGACACTCTTCTTGATCATGTCATTCCCGCAGCATGAGTGGAAGCGATGCTACTTGTCTCTTACATATCTCACAAATGTCGGTGGGGTGTGTGTCAGGGTAAATCTTGTGATACCGGGGGAAAGTGGCGCATATGACTTTGTTCGTAGCAGGCGCATGGTAGCTGCTTCGGCTCTGCCATGGCTCGCGGTTGGCCGAATTCATTTATTTATTTTTTGCTTCTAAGCCGATCTATTGTTGCTCTTTCATTACACTGAATGGTGAAGTTGAGCACTTTGGACGGAGACAAAGGGGGATAGGAAGGGCATGGCACTCGCAACTAAATTTATTTCATAAAAAGATACTTCCTATATATACACACCCCAAATGCGCCCGAGTGACACAGAAATGAGTCGGCAGTCAATACAAAATTATCAAAGAAAAAATTTTGGAAATAATCGAGTGAGAGGATGATCAAAGCATGCGTGGAAATGAACTTATAAACATTAAATATTATTCGAAAACAAGTTCCTGTACACCAAAAGCGATAAAACGAGGCATTTGCTATTTATACACCACAACTGTAGGGCTCCTTGTTTTCGGATAAATAAAAAAATACATTCAACAAATACTTACCGAGAATCTTTTTGGCAATTCAGAATTATCCGGTTATATACGCTTTTTAACAGGGTATTTTCAACATTCAAAGGGCAATTCTAAAGCTGACAATTATCAATCAAAAAGACCACACATTCATAAGCGCTACCAACCTCGTAAAGTATGCTTGTACCGAATACAACATGCTTTAAGGTTGTAATACGAACAAAGATAGGTGCTTTGTAGTGAAGTATGTGTGTTGTTATGCATATTTGTTTGCGCGTTCAGACCTTGCCGATATCGAAAATACATTTTGTGTATTTGCATGCTTCTTGTTCAGTCGTGCTTTCAATTAGGATTTTGGGTTATTGACTATCATAATAATCCTAATCTTTTTTTATTCTTCATGTAGAGGAGGAGGAAAGTTGAGAAGCGATTCGAATAACTTCTGCTGCCTCAAAAGTACACTTCGTACAGATTAGAGCTGGGCTAATCAACAGCCTTAATTATATCAAGGTAAATGAACAAGAAGAGAGCGAAAATGGAAAGGGTGGGACAATAGTACTATCAGCGAGAATGCTACACACTTTTTTGAGAAATGAAATGAAATAAAATACATAGCAACATTTTATAATGCATAATTAATAATTTAATTAAACACCATATTTCAGAGACTTGGAGCTTCACGATGAATGAACTTCAATAAACGACAATTTTTTTCCTAAAGAACCCCGGAAGGCACCCGCTCAATTTCATCAAAAATTAAGTCTGAAAACACAGAGCTCTAACCATAACAAATAATAAAATTTAGTCAAGGGTAACAGCAAGATGTTCCACTTGAAACTACCACGTGATTCAAACGGAAGTAGGCGACGTGAATAAGAGCGTAACATCTGCAAACACCTTTACTTCAATTAAAGTCCTATGAATGTGGCTACCGATGAGTTAATGTAACTGATGATTTACTAATGCAACTACCTTTTCGTTTGTTAATGTGAAATGCTTCTAAAATTTTGCTGGTTAGCTGGTTCCCATGATGGGAAACCATGACTACTAACAACTTCAACTTTATTGCTCTTCAACGACCACCCTTCAAAGCCTTTGTGCACCTAACATGGTTCTGCATTGCCTCCGGCATCAGAGGCGTTGCTACTTTCCTGCATCTCACGTAATTTTTTACTGCCTCCATGATCGGCACTATTATGACCAAGCGACGTCCAGGTATGACGTTTTAGAGACGTCTTGGTGGTCTGACAACTTTCGTACATACGTGACGTCATAATTACGTCATGTGAGGACGCCGTGCCGTGCCGACTTTCTGCGTCACTCATGTCGGTGCCGATGCCACCCACAACCGCGGTTAACTTTCTCGTTTAATAGGGCCTTAGCACCAAAAGTAATGACTCCTTATATGAAGTTTTGTAGCAAGTAGTTGTGCTACATACAACGTGTGGATGAATTATATATGACTTATTGCTGTACGTGCAGGTGGTGGCAGCAGTTGGAGTCGCCTGCCTGCCGATTCCATCGCGGGCCATGACCGAGGTAATATCGAAAGCGAAGGCATCAGTGTCCGCAGTGTCCGACGACTTGAAGCCCGCCGCTACGGGTCTGATCGGGGCCGGAGGCTATGGTGGCTACGGTGGCCTGGGTCAGGGTGTAAACAACTTCCAGAGCGGCTACGGCACTGGAGGCTTTGGCAAGGGCTACGGTGGATTCTCGAATTACGGAAACAACAAGGTGAGCGCGTCTTACTCGATCACTTTCATGGTTGCGCAGCTGGCGCGCATGGGATTTTACGACTGCCATACGATGTAACCTTGTTCACAGCACATACAGCACTTCCGCGAAACACAGGAAGAAAAAAGAATGATGAAGCCAGTTATTCAGTAGCAGTTCTGGCTCCTGAACCAGTTTTTGGGGTCTCGAAATGAGGCACGCAGCTCTCGGAACGCGGACACAGCAGACGTGGCCCGACCCAATCGAACACACATTTATTGAATTTCTTTTGAAACAATGATATTGTCAGTCGAATAAAAACACATTATAAGTGGTCAACACGCTAAAACAACCTTACACAGTGTTCCACAACACTCAACAAAGTAACAAACACAAGGCGGCGTCGCCAACGCTCGACTCATCACGAGGGCCCACGAGCGATGGGCCGCGGTGCTGTCCTCACGGGCCCACCGCGAGAGACGACCGCTCGTTCCAGGTGGCACATGCCAAATATAATGCATCCATTACTTCTAACCTCAACCCTAGGCGAGAGGACTGCGAGGCGGCTCTGCCCGGCTCCTCAGACCTGCAAGTCCGGTGGGCCTTGGTCCGGAAAGCCAGGACAGCGGCTTTAGCCAATGGGGTCCCGGAACAGAAACTCCACTTAGTCTGTATGAACCTCTCAAGAGGTCCTACACCTCTTTTGTAAATAAATGCTTTTTACCGCCACCACACGCCAAAGATGAACGCTCATCTGTCATGTGCCACCAGCGAAAATTGCCCCCAGGCATCACTGCTGACGCTACCGTGCAAGTCATGGTGATGATGATGATGATGATGATGGTAGTAATAAATGATCGTGAGCACAACGCCACCTGTACCGTATGATAGTTGTGAACCCTGAATGCGGCCTATGTGCGGAACACGTGCGCCACGAGGTGCGAACAACAATACAGGGAGTATTACACAAGTTAAAATGATTGTGTTACTCTAGCAGGGTTTATCACATTTAAGCTCAATTTTGAATGACTATCCACGCATTCAGGTTGTATATTTAGGATGCCCCAATTTTCTTAACAGGAGAGGGACCAATTTTTTGCGTAAAGTTCTGGATGAGGTAAAAAATACACATTTGGTATGCAAGCCACAGCAACACGTTATGCTGAGTATAATGTGTATTCGCCAGGTTCTATTGTGGAGATTTGAAATGTACAGAAAATTCAATTAAAGAAATTGAACGAAGAAAAAAGTTAGCTAAATTAATTCACGGCGGTACACTCAGGCACTGGCCGGTGGTGGATTCGGCAAGGGTTCGTACGGCGACAACGTCGTATCGGCATACGGTAACCAGGGCCTGGGCCAGGGCGGCATCAATAACCTGGCCACTCACGGTCTGCACGGCGTCTCGGGAGCTACGGGCTTCAACCACCAGGGAGGCGTCAACAAGCAGTTTGCCGGAAAAGGAGCCGCACGGGACCAATTCAACGCAGGACACAACAAGGCAAGCGAGACACTCCTCGAGATCCGGTTATCAAACTGGCAACTGAGTGCCGTGAGCAATGTGATCTTGCATTGCCATTTGCTGCTAGCTCAAGCACCGACGCTATGGCCAATGAAACACGGTGATTAGGGCCTATACTCTCCTCAAAACAAATTAATGGCAACAAAAAATTTGAAAACAGCGGGTCGGGGCCGACGTTTCGACAAGCAGGCCTGACTTTTCGAAGGACGCAACTGGCCTTGAAAAAGACAAGTGTACTTCTCGAAAATTCGGCTCCAGCACCTACCCCTGAACTTTAAATTTATCATCGCGTATTCAAAACATTAGTAACTGAAGGTTCTAGAGAGAGACCTTCGTCCAGCAGTCAACGTACAATTGATTATGGTGTCGATTATCGGGCACTGATAGGTCATGCTGTTGCATTGTTAAAAAGCAACGTCTTTGATTACGTTGTTTTCTTGAGGGAACACTAACATGAAACGTTAAATAAGCTTAGAGAGATATGTTTTATTGCATAACTCTAACAGTGGGCTTCATTTGGGGTGGTCTGTGCTGCATGGCAGACGAAGGACGGGACAGCGTTAAAGACGGCACGACAAGAGGACACAGACAGCACAGTGCGTGTGTCCTCCTCTCGTCACGTTTTTAGCGCTATTTTATTCGTTGTCTACCTTTAAGAACTGTATTGCATTAATTTCTGCATGAGATGTTAGTGATGAGAACAAAAAATAAAGATCAAAGTTTTTATCTTGAATATTGCGCGGTATCTTCAGTCCTTAATGTCACCATGAGGTCACAAACTTGGAAGTACTTATGCGTTTCTTGACAACATTGGTTTATTAAAATTTTCTCAGAGAGCTTCCCTCTAACTTGCTTAGTGGAGAAAGAAAGAAAGAAAAAAAAAGAAAGAAGGAAAGAAAGGAAGAAAGAAAGAAAGAAAGAAAGAAAGAAAGAAAGAAAGAAAGAACGAAAGAGAACAATTCCAGGAAGCCACAAATACTAGCTCAGTAAATGAGCGTGTACCGGAAGCACCGGTTGAGGTCTGAAGTGTTTCGAGAGACGCCAGCCACGAACAATGTCAACAAGCTTCATTATAAGTCGCTAACCATTAAAAAGACAACAGACAGGAAGAGAGAGAAAAATAGCACAGTAACTCAGAAAAAAGCAGGTTAGTGCACTCAAAGTATGTATATGGTGGAACACTAGGGTCATTGAATATTCATTGATGATTGATATGTGGGGTTTTAACGTCCCAAAATCACCTTATGATTATGAGAGACGCCATAGTGGAGGGCTCCAAAAATTTCCACCACCTGGAGTTCTTTAGTGTGCACTCGAATCGAAGCACACAGGCTCACAGCATTTTCGCCTCCATCAAAAATGCAGCCGCTGCCGTGGGGATTCGATCCCGCGAACTGCGGATCAGCAGCCGAGTACCTAAGCTACTAGACTTCCGTACATGGTGGGGCAAGTGCATGCAATATTCGCACCGTCCTAAATACGCAAGTAAAGTCGGACGGCTTAAAAAAGTCACAACCGTTAGAGCTGATCGTTACGGGTGATCAAATTTGTGGTAAAGAAAAGAACGGAAACGCATTAATGAGGAGCTATGCCAGATTTTCTTCATCTATTTACTTTCCTGCCAAACACTATACGGATTTATCGCGGTGGAAGCAAAAATGAAGAAACACGTGACGCTGGGAAGAACAGACTGCGTCGGACTCACTTTCGCATCCGAATCGATGCAGCCACAGGTCTCAGTTTCTTAAGGCACTACGCAGTCGATATATCGACCTCTCTAACGAGACTCTTTCTCATGAGTAAGTGTCCGGGATTTTTCTCGTTTTCGTCGTTTTTCATCTGCAGCCTTTATTATATATATTTATTCGTGCGGTGCAGGCTGTATCATTGATGCTCCCGAGAGCAAAGAAGTAATTGAGTTTTCCTTTACATCCCCGAATCGGGAATATATGTAGGACGGCGAAAGCTGACCTGCCACGCCGAGAGTACGCACAAAGACGTAAGAACTTGCGGCGTCGAATAGTTAATGAGGTGATTACCTTACTTGCGAGAGTGCTTTCCCCGAGCCGTAACGAAGATACATGTGAAGGTTACGCATTCCGCGAGCTTTTCTCTTGCGCATCGACAGAGTTAGTTTAGACGTGCTTGGTGCTTGTACAGACTTGTGTATGTTTAAGTCTATAGGGAACGGTGCCCGTGAACTAGGCTCGGAGTGAGCGAAATAATTCATTACAGTTTGGGTAACAGCGGATGGCACGTGTTAGAGTGAATAAGTCGTGGGAGCAATTATTCAGCTCACGAGAAGCTACGCAGCGCGTTCCCTGTTAGTAACGGCTACGTAAAGCAATTAAAACACGATGGCGAAGAAACTACACTTTAAATGAGAAGTGGTTATAAGAGGGGAAAGAAGAGAAAAGTGAGCCCCATAACTGTCTGCATCAAGGTGCGACACCTCAGCAGTAGCTCACAAGGGATCGGGGTGAGGAGCGATTAAAAGGATAGGATTATATAGAGAGATGCGCTAGGACAGCGAGCGAGGACATATGAGGGATAGAATGAGATCTGTGGTGTAATATGACAATCAAGAATTTAAGCGGACAAAAGCACATTTTGCCGTGCACGGTGCGAATGAAGTCGTGATTTCGCTGAAGCGATAATGCTCTACTAGTTGAAATTATCAACGGTGGCTGCTTTTGTTTTCTTTTATATTTTTTCACAATTATGTCGACCTTAACAAGCGTTTATAGTTAAAACAGTGTCACATTGTATTAAAGTAGGTCTTATCCGCAGTACGTAAACAGGGGGGCAGTCTATTCGACAAAAAGCCCCCACATGCAACCTTAACACATCCTTGGTACCAATACGAAATACATTCATATAACGTGACATATACAGAGTAATTCACTAGACGGACGTGAGAGAAAAAAATAAAGGCTGTCACACACCCGCACGCATTTTTCCACAGCTTCATGCTACGAATGGTTTGTTAAGAATTGTTACTTAAGCGAACCTACATCTACCTCGCGGATTTTTGCGAACTGATGAGCCTGAACACAAACATATACATTATGAAATGAGAACTACATGCAGCTGAAAGGAATAGTATCCTATAGTATTACTTATTCTTCGTCCAGAGTTGTTGTACACAGTATATATTTTACACAAATGAAATTCACTTCACCTGTTATAAACGATATTTTGCTTTTGGCCTTTATATAAGCTTTTTTTTTTAGTAGATCTGCTCTGATTCTACTACATTCTAGTTTCCGAGGTGAAGTCTGTACTATACAGTATAGAAGCCTTGAAGACGCATTCAGTGCTACCATAGACATCACATGACTTTGTCTAAGAAAAATAAAATATTGAGGAGAGAAAGCTATTTGGGCTAAGTTAGACAAATGGGCGTCTCGTTTACTATTCTATACAGTGGGATCCAAGAAGAAATCAAAATTTACTATCCCAACATTAAATCTATGTTTTTCCTCCTCCTACCACACCACAGATCTTCGCCAAGGAGAAAGTATACGCTGTGGACCAAAGCTTTCAGAACGGCAACCGAGATGCATTTAACCTGGGCTACGGCAACCTCGGAGGCTTCACAGGCCAGGGAGGCTTCGGCAAGCAGGAAAAAGTGAACCAGTACGGCAACCAGCAGTACGGAGCATTCAAGGGCTACGGACAAGGCAACTACGGCAAGCACGGACGCACGTCGTTCGGCGAAGGCGCCCACTGGCATCAACAACTACGGACACGCGGCCGGATACGGGACGCAAGCGCAGCAGGGCAAGGGATACGGAGGCTACGGACATGGAGGCGTGGGCAGCTACGGCGGAGTACTCAACCACGGATACGGCGGATACGGATCCACACAAGCCGTGGCACCGATCCTCGCCAGGCCCGTTCTTCACGGTGTAGCTCCGGGTGTGGGATACGGAGTCGGGCACGGAATAGGACACGGAATAGGGGGATATCATGGTATAGGGGCGGGGCCACATTTCTACTGAGTGTAACTAACTTATGACAATGTAGCAAAGAACAGTGATGCTAAGGTTACCCAAGTTCCTAAGTGGGCTAGAAAGGGAAAAGAAATTGCACGCACAAAAAAGGGGATCCTTGCACCATTTCTTGCTTAGGTTGTGCGAAGTTTGCTGTGAATGCAGCACGACATACATCATACAGAAATGAAAGTTTTGCTCGTTGACTTCCTGCGTTCCGCTTCGCTTGGCTTACGTAAAACGCTTGTGTTCTTAAGCAAGACGTTCTGCCACCAAACACACATAAAAAAGGAAGCAACATCAAAGTTCATGTGAAGTATGCAAGCTCACTGTATTCAGCTGTATTCGGAAATCCTGAATTTTTTTTCCACAAGGTCAAAATTTTCTAATAATGCTCCGTAACTGTATATTGGATTGCGATTGAGTGGTTGTTGAATATGCTAATATTTAAGGTTTTTGAGGAAGGCTGTGGCTACTCATAGTTCCCACGAAGGACGGGATTTCTGTAGAAATAGCTCGCTTCTTGTATGGCTAGCACCTCCTAAATGTATGTATTTCGTGGTTGTGTACTACGACAGACCTGACCGAAACAGGCTACAGGTTACGTCACATAAGGATTCTTCAGACAAATATACGAGGAATTTTAATTTATCGCTAATGATTTGCACTATTTCAACTGCTCGTTCCTTTGTATATGTTTAGTATGCGTGACTGTTGACAGCTGAACTTAGCTATTGAGTGCCGCACTTTGCTATTCGCTGCTAGACTATATAGTGAATATGTTGCACACACGCACTAAAGTTAGCTTGTTAATCGATGGTCGTGGCTGTCTACAGATCTGTTAAAAGGACAGCATTGAGTGTGAAACCACAAAATAAAAAAAGAAGACATACAGTTGTGCCTGGAGTGACACACAAGCAAAATGTCTTATACGAGTTGAAAAAAGAAAAAAAAAACACCTAGCATGCAGAAAGATCTTAAAGCTAGTTACAAACGTGCCACAAAACCCTTCAGAAAAAACCTCGTTTTTGTACAGGTTGAACTGCAGAAGAACGTGAATGGAACTAATGTGAATAAAGCTGCAAACTGGAGACGCACCTGCAGGTGGCGCACCTTTCGTTTTTGCCACCATGGTGGTATTGGTGGTGGTGGTCACGCTTTTAATGGTAATCATTACATCGATGATAAGAATCACGACTTCGCAGTCTTTAAATATTTAATGCATTTCATCTAAGGCATGTGAAGGGGTGCATCTATATTGTAGGCGGGCGTACAAAGATGAACATCACTAGGATAACAAAGGCAACAGGAACTTAAACCGCTAGCTAAGTCACAATTCTGACCATTCAAAAGAATGGAGAATACTTACGCACTCAAACAATTACACCTCAACGCTAAAGAAACAGCACGGGCGCGTTTCACACGCCGTTACGCGCAGGTGTTGCATTACTCCAAGGAGGCCAACTTTCAATCGTTCTGCGAATTCAAACCACTTTTATCGAGGTCATGGCGGCGGTAATCGAACATCCCACAAGACGCACGCTAAAGTATGAAGCACGCCGTAACAACAAGACGGCTATTCTTAGAATTCAAGGGAATGTGCCGGCCTTGCAACTTGGTAATCTCGAATTCTGGCGAAACAAAAGCGCCATGAGAGTGTTTTCTGCGAGAACGGAAGGTACTCTCGACGTTCATTTCTTCCGCCTAGCTGTGTGCGTGCGTTGATTTCGCGAAGTTCCCTCCACCTTCACGAGATTGCGCGGGCGAAGCAATTTTCTCTCTCGGTACAGCGCAGCTTAACTCGGCAACGTCAGTGCTGCTTCGTATTTTTTCAACTAGTTGCCATGGATACGACAGCAAAGAACCTCTTTGTTCGCGGGGTAGTTCATTTCTGTCTCGAGTAACGGGCACCTTGTTGGCTTGACACAGGCGTTGATTGACTCTCTCGAGCGGCAAGTCCCTCGCAGTAGTCCACTTACATTAAACACCGCTGCGCTGTTCTCATCCCACTTTTACTGAACCGCTTTTTGTATCCCGCCATCCCAACTGGCAGTGCACGCTTTACTGTTTGCTTATGAGGTTAAAATGCTGCATTCGAGTGGAGGCTCGCTATACGAAATTAGTTGAGTGCGGCTCATAGGTACATCGAAGCTAATTTTTCCAACTCTCCCCTATGCTGTATCAAAAGCAGTAAGATAGGGGGAAACGTAGAGAATATGCACGGCCAAAACACACAAGCTTTCCTATTTATGTGGTGTTATATATAGCTATCTGTCAAAGCTTAATTCGTTAGCATTGTACTTCTTTCTTTTCAGTTAAAGGTCGGAACAATAAAGTGAATGTCTACGCTTCTTGTACTTCTGTTCTTCAGCATTCACCAGTCAACCCAAAAGAAAAGATACGAAATGCTTAGGTTCCGTCCGTAAAAACCCTATGTGTTCTGCAGCACTTTCGTATATGAAAATGTTTGCCGACGAGCTCGAGTAATTCGTTTAACACTGGTTCAAATTGATTTCGCTTTCTGCAAAACAGACAGGCGTGGGGAAACTGGAGAGCAGTCAGTGCCGACTGCCTGAAAGTATGCCCGATCAGGAGGCTTTGCCGAAGCTACAATGTTTAACGGTTTAAGTAAATTGGTGAAATCAGGAAGGAGTATCTAAACAACGTCGAGTTGTATGTCGAGAGCACAGTTGTGGTTCTCTATGAGTTGGATATGATGCAGCAGAGCTATCAAAGTCGCACTGGTGGTCCAGTTGTCTGTGGGAGAACGAAATGCTCTGAAAGCTTTTGAAGTCGTGTATGTGCCGTACTTGTATTAGATGTGCACCACCATAGACTTTCTTTTGGCCTTCGTAATCAGTTCTCAATACTTCATATAAAACGTACTACTCCCCCCCTCCCTCCCCCGTGACTAGCAATGAACGTTCAGAAATAAATTTCTGAGCAATGAATTGAAGAAGTGCCGTGCATAAGCTAAACCATAATGTGCGCATACGTGTTGTTTTCTTTCTTGTTTTTTTTTCTCGTGTGTTTGTCCCTGTGCTGGAGCAGTGCGTTGCAACTATCGACCGTGTCAAGCTCAGCCATAGCGAGGACCGAGTCTCGCACTATAACAGTGCAACGCGGATATATTCGTCGTTCGACCAGAACAACAGGCGGGAAAGACATTGCGCAACAGCTGCGTGATCAATAAATAAGAGCAAGGCGTGGTGCTTTGCATCCGTTTCCATTTGCGTTCTATTCAGGGCTGACTCGCGAAGCTGCACGCAGCCCACGCCCTGACGACCGCTCCGAAATTCCGTACACGTATACACCGCGCCTGCAGAACCCAGCCAATGGATACAGCACACCACATGCACGTAGTCTTAATAAAGAATGGGTGGCACAGACATTTGAATGCAGAACACGTTCCGTGCCTACTAAAAGGAGAGCTATAGCAGCATGTGTTACGCAGTGCATAGTGCTTTAGCTGAACTGCTCGAAGAACTGAAACTGCGTGTAGAGCTCGTGCTCGCACACGCGAACAATCAGGAGTCTTTATTTTTGAGACCTAATGTAGGCAGTCAGTGTTCGTGTATACTGATGCGAACATTCAGCGCAATATCTTTTTGTATGATCGGGAGTCATGCCATTCCGTACTGTAGCGCACAGATGTCTCGCTCGTAAGTTGGCTATTATAGGGACACCAAATGCAAATATTAAGTCGACGTTGATTGTTGAAAAAGCGGTCCAAAAATCCTCGTATCGCTACTTTTGTGCCAAGGAAGTGCGTATTTTGGAGCAAGATCACATTTTCATGGTCCGCATTTACGTTAGTGCACTTCAAGTCACTCACGTGAAAAGCGGTGTCTTAGACGTCGCTCTTTCCGTGCCCTGTGTTGCCCTGCCTTTACAACTCATTCACTGACACCAGTAGCAGCATGCAGAGCAAAAGTAGCGGGAAGCCATAGTATAGACACTCTGATGTCATTAGCATTATTTCGCAGATGCCTCACACTTGGCGCACGTCTTGTCATGCATTTAGCATTAATTTCTTGGTAAGTAAAGAACGGATGTTGATAATATTGCTCTTTTAGACGTTGTCATACATGGACCTTTTACTTTGGCATAAATTGTCATTTGCCTTCAGTGTGCCTTTATAGACAGCATGAGAGAGCCTTTCGTGCCCCAGAAGCGATCAGAGAACCACCTTTTACCACACGAACTTCGAGAAACGAGAGTTTCGCCGGGAGCTTTGCATAAAAAGATGAAGAAAATATGCATCAAAGACGCACGCAACGTCTGTTCCGATATCCTGTTGCTGGTGGTCCTTGTCTCTCCAATGCTTGATTTCACTTTAATACCTTAAAGACCCCGCTTAGGAGTTATTACGTTGAGTTGGATTAACAAATGTGGGTTAGAGGCTGATTCACGATGCAAAATATGCAGTTATATTGTTCGCAAAAGAACAAAAATTGATGAACACGTGATGGTTGCCATGTCATGAGGGAGGCCATTCTAGTCCACTGCTGTGCGAAGAAAAATTGATGCGGCAAAGGTAGTAGTGCAAGCACGTGTGCGTACGACGATAAAGGATGGGTCATGAGGTGAGATATACGCGATGGTGGAAGGATGTAAGGAGATAGATTGAGGGAACACTGAAAAAAAAATGTAAAACAGACTGGCGATGCGGCGACGCACGCAAAGATTAGTAACAT